CTTATTTGTATCAAGTACCTTAATAATAATTGTTAAGGTTCGACCAAAGCATCGCGTGCAGCATTCGATGGTAATGGCGATCAAAAAATGTCGTGTATGAATTTGTAGCGATAAGTTCAACGCGATCAGTGCCCTAATTGACGTTACAAAACTTAAACGACATATAAGCGATTTGATCGCTGGAGTTACTTTGTTAATCGCCCGATTTTGTTTCGATTTCGTTTTTATGCGTATTCAATAGTTACCTCCGTGGTATTCCCTATTGCCTATTTTGAAGTTTGGTTTAATCGCATGACAGTGATTAAACGTCAATAATGACAAATCGCTCAGTTGCGATCCTATCGAGTTATCGTTCTATATAGACTAAGAGCTAGTGAACGCCAGACCTACGTTACTTTATAAAGGCTGAAAGTTTGTCAGCGCATGCTCCCAACATAGCTAAGAACCATGGCCAAACATGAAGTTTGGGTCGTGGTGGCTTTGGCAGACAGACGGTGCTAAAGGTGTGTAAAATACCAACTTAATTACGTCAAAGTATAAAGGCTGATTTTTTGATATTTCCTTCAAAATGTTATTAGAAATGACGTCATTCATTGACAGACACCTACCATGGTGGCAGCCCTTAGCCAGACACCTTAAAGTTCATGAAAATGTAGTTCTACTTACGTCATACTATAAAAGCTGATATTTACATAAAATATTTGAACTATCATTTGATGAAGTTTCCTCATCAGCCAGACACTTCTGATGGTTCCTTCGCCTTGCCAGACAGCTTTTAGGGTGGCTGAAAGTGCGAACGCGAGGCACTATAAATATTGTTTATTGTACTTTTTCTTAAGTTACTCAAGTATTTGAGTCTGTAAATCATCGTCTCATGTTGATGAGCTGATGATGGAATGTAAGTACAACTCCTTAAGGCTTAGGAGTTGGAGGACAATTCTTTAAGCAGTATATAAAAGTATAGTTTCTAAAGTTATTTGGGTGTTTGCATCGGCTAGTCATCATCCCATGTTGATGGAAGGTACAACTCCTTAACGCTTAGGAGTTGTAGGATAACTCACGTCATGCTCCCCGGCAGAACTACTTTTGATTTAACTAGTGTAAGTTTCTAAAATAAATCTATGAAATTTCTATAAAATTATAGTCCTATTTAAAAAAAATGATGTCTCAGGTTTCGCCGTATTTTGTTATTGAAAGTTGTTGCGCTGCAGAGTATTCTTCCAGCGAAACCATCACGATATATCTATTACTATGCATAGTATAATCAAATTTATAGTATCAAATAATTCTATAACAATTCTATATTGAATTAGGACCCCCAACCCAAATCCTCACTAGAATTTATATACACGGAAAATATGGTGCCACAAATTTTCTCTTCGAAATAGTTGCTAAACGCCTAGAGTAAAATTCTTAGCAACATTAGCATTAACATAGGTAATGCTAATGTTGCTAAGAACTTTACTCTAGGCAACTTTCAGAGGTAATCACTTTAAAATTAGGGATTACCTACCTAAGCCTTAAGGAGTTGTACTAACCTTCTATCATCAGCTCATCAATATGTGATGATTTACAGACTCAAATACTTGAGTAACTTAAGAAAAAGTACAAAATACAATATTTCGTTCGCACTTTCAGCCACCCTAAAAGCTGTCTGGCAAGGCGAAGGAACCATCAGAAGTGTCTGGCTGATGAGGAAATTTTATCAAATGATGGTTCAAATATTTTATGTAAATATCAGCTTTTATAGTATGACGTAAGTAGGAATACATTTTCATGAACTTTAAGGTGTCTGGCTAAGGGCTTCCACCATGGTAGGTGTCTGTCAATGAATAATGTCATTTCTAATAAGATTTTGAAGGAAATATAAAAAAATCAGCCTTTATACTTTGACGTAATTAAGTTGGTATTTTACACACCTTTGGTACCGTCTGTCTGCCAAAGCCACCACGACCCAAACTTCATGTTTGGCCATGGTTCTTAGCTATGTTGGGAGCATGCGCTGACAAACTTTCAGCCTTTATAAAATAACGTAGGTCTGGCGTTCACTAGCTCTTAGTCTAATAGAAATGACACGTGAATACGTATTTAGGGCTGTTTTTCAATAGGACGACTTCTAAACGTCAACGATATTTTGACTTCAAGTTTCAAAATACGTAAATTAGGCCACTGTTATTGGTCGCGGGGATCTATGCACGCGCAGTGATCGCCCATCGCCATCGCCGAAGCGAGAGCACGCGTTGATTTGGCCGAAGCTTTAGTTCATATCTCTATTTTAACTGTTAACACGTCTATCAGTTATGCGTTCAATTAATAATGTAAGTGTTGAATTAACAAGTTGAAATGTCTTAAATTTTAAATAAATATTTTTAATATTTCTATTGAGTGTGTTTTGATTCTGTTACTTTACGTCGATTTTTATTTCATTTATATGAACCATTGCTGATTATACTTACTTACCATCAATCAACATTTTTATTTGCTGTCAATCTTATAATCTCCTTGCTGCCCCATCGGCTGTCAGTTCTGCTTATTAGGTGCCCTGCCCATAGGCACTTCAGCTTTCTAAATCTAATCCATCGGGCTATTTCAGCGACTTTATTTAGTTTACGGATCTCATTTCTGATTCGATCTCGTAAATTGAGTAATCATTGAGGGAGGCCTATGTTCAGCAGTGGACCTCCTGTAGCTAAAATGATGATGATGATAATAATGTACAATCTCCAACGCTTCAAACTGCTAGCCCGTGGGATCCTAAGCGGTCGCATGAGACCGCGGTAACAATTTATTTCTATTGCATCTCGATTCGCTGGTACTAGAACTAAATAGTTTAACAGTTTTATTTTCTAAGTCTTATTGCAACTAACTTTTGCTTCCAGATTACTACGAGGAAATTCCATTACTAGGCAAATCCGTGATCCTGTACAGAAATCACACATTTTCTAAGCAAGGGTACTCGAAGACCACGCTGTACTGTTCCAAGAAGAAAATAAGCGGCTGTCCAGCTAAACTGAAGCTGTCTGGTAACAAATGNTCAGGCTATATGTATATTATTAACTAGCTTTCCGCCCACGGCTTCGCACGCGTGAAATTTCGTTTGTCACAGATCGTCATAAATTATAGCCTACTAGCTGACCCGGCGAACTTTGTACCGCCTTAGCGTAGAGATTTTCTTAATATTTTTTTCCGTAAGAACCATCCTTGGACTTCCACAAACATTTAAAAAAAAGAATTATCGAAATCGGTTCAGCCGTTCACACGTGATGCCGTGACAACGCGAAACGGGTTTCATTTTTATATATATAGATAGATATGTTATTCTGGATTATGAACAATAATACTGTAAAGTTTCATCAAAATCCGTTCAGTGGTTTTTGAGCCTATTCATTACAAACATACAAAATTACAAACATACAACAATAGGTACAAATCTTTCCTCTTTATAATATTAGTATAGATTAAACCAGAGTTAAGGGTTTGGCTTAGAATCTCTAATACACTTTATTTTAGTCCTATTAGTTTAAGTTTGCAATTGCCTTTAAATTTTTATTTTAGGATCTTTGCAAACAATAAGTATGGATAAGTTCAAGAAAAAGTGTCATCATAGCATTTCATCTTTTTTTGATTGGTTCAAAAGATATTTTTACGATGGCATAGCTTCTCTTTTTTACATAAAATAAAAATAATGGCTATTCAACTAGTATAATAATTTTATTATTGGACTAGTATTGAAAATGTTTGTATTTATTAGTATAGGTACTTTTCAAATTCCTTATTTTGTGTGTTTATTTGTATTTAATGCTGAAATAAAGCTTCGTAGGTAATTATTCTTTCCTTACATTGTAGTAATTTTCAATAAAAAGAAAACATTTTTATATACCTACCTTCTCATTGTATTTATACGATTGCCGATAGGTAGTTGAGTTTATTATAAAGCTACAATTTTCAGGTGAACTCAACATTATAACATTGACCGACAACAAAACTGTGGTCCTATACGACAACTATTCCTTTTCGTACTCGGAGTCTTCACGAAGATACTTATCTTGTTCCCGAAGGTTGAGGGGGAAGTGCAGGGCCAAGCTTAAGGTGGAAACCGATGGAAGAGTAACATTTTATGGCGACTACCATAACCACACTCCACCAAAGTACGTAAGGATAGGTGATGGGAGATATTTCAAAGTGTGAACAACCTAAGAAAAGGTGTACGCTGATGACAGCATTTTTTGCCAGAAAAACTACTTTTTTTAATTCATAATGAGGAAGCTCTTAGCCTGTATCTCACCTGATGGTAAGAAATGATCAGGCCGAAGGTGGAAGCGAGCTTCACCCGGCATCCTCAACCACGGAGGAACTGCCAATCTTACTTCTAACTGCCGGAACACAACAACGCTGATATTGTTGTACTTTCTAGAGATAAAGAGGCATAGGGGTCAAATATGCATAACATCAAAACATCTGGTGATCAAAAGGCTGGCAGCTGTTTCAGTCAACGAATAAGCCTGGCCATACAACGTGGCAATGCTGCCAGCTTTTTGGGCACCATTTGCATTCCCGACTGCGGCGCTGGGAGTTTAAAGTTTTTTCTTTTTTAAGTTACTTTATGTTTTGTGTAAATTTAAACTCTGGCATAGATTCTGCCCTTTATTTATCTCAATACAATGTTTAGTTTTGTTAGTGTAATGTTTGTGACAAAATTTATTGTGCTTATTAAGATTTACCACAAATAAACATTTCTTGACAATTACGTATTTCTATGTAGAGTAGACTCATAGTTAAATGTCAATGTAAAATTACAATTTACAAGACTAATAAGGATTCCAAATCTAGTATTGCATAATGTGGACAAAATTAGTATTTATTATATGGACGACAAAAAACTTGCTCTAATTAGTTCTTTGAAGATTTTTACGTTAATACATAATATTTTTAGATAGTCGTTAGATACTGCTTAGTTCAAAGAATTATGCATAATGTGAAATATTTCTTTTTTCAGAAAACAACGGCGTAATGAATTTACAAATAAGCGAAGTACACACACAAGTAACAGCTGACAACCTTTCTGACGATGACGTCATTGAGGTAGTAAGAGACGAAGCACCCATCGAAATACTATCGGACGGTGAAGAAACTGAACTTCAGAATAAGAATCTAAATCAACTTGCCGATGTCATAAAAGATTTCCATTTTACCTCAGTCCCGTCTACTTCAGACTCCCATGGTGATCAAAGTATGGAAACTGAAGATCCTCTAGCCAATAAAACTGGTGAAAAATCAACAGACGAGTTGTGTGAAGCCATTACAACTGGTGTTAACAATATGAAAACTACAGTAGACAAATCTAATGAAAATGAAATTGTTAAGGCTTTAAAGCCAGATATTTCTAAAATTTCTCTAGATAGTACTAAGAAAATTAATCCAGACCCTCCACTAGACACGACTGACAAGATTGATAACATAGTTCCTGAAACTGTTACAAAAGAAAGTGGTTAGAGTTTATTAAAGAATTAGTTAATATTTTTTCAACTTTTCTTATAATTAATTCATTATAGTGATTGTAACTTTGCTTTCTTATGTTAATTGTAATAAAGCTTACGTTATAATTAAGAAATATTTAAATTAAAACGATTTAAAGCTCTCGTTGCTTATTTATGGTCTCGGCTTAAATTAAAAAATAGGAATTAAGTTATTTAAAATGTATGTTTATTTTACTTTTCACTGTCAATACTGTGATACATTAAGTAATGCGTATCAAAAAACTTGTTTTTTTCTTCTTATGGTGCGTCCAGACTGGGCGAATTTTCTCGCGCGGCAAACTCAACTTCCTGCTCACTCAAGAGCAGAGTGAGCAGGATGACCAGCGCGCCGCGCGAGCAAATTCGCCCAGTCTGGACGCACCATTAAAATAACATTAAGGTTTTCGTTTAATCAACATGATTCAATATCAGTGTGTTAATAAATAAGTAATATGCCTTATTCAAAAGGATAAATTAAATTAGCTAAATGTTATGTTATATAACAATTTCCATTAAATAAAGGTTTATAAAATTAAGTTATTATTTCTTTTTGTGTAATTACCTAAAACCCTGCTTCTTATCAACCCGTTGGCCCCTCAGTTCGCATTTGTCACTCAAGCCACGTTTAAGTTTTAAAAAATTTACGGTGTTTCAACTTACCTCGGTTTCCCCTAATACCTATGATTTACATTATAGTATGTATAATATTGTAATAACATGACATAAAATAGGAAGCAGGGCATTTTTAACTCTTTTTGACTCAAATTCTGATTGATTAACTAAATCATAAACTAATAATAAGTCAACATTATTTTTAACACGAATTCTTAATTGTTTTATCATTTCAGGTATGATCATTTACAAGATAAGCAGGAAGTGCAAAAATCATCCAATCAACCTCAACGTGGCACTCGGCAAGATACTGTCAAAGGAAATCAGCATACGACAAGCTTCTCTCATCTACAGCATACCTAAAAGCACTCTCTTCGACAAACTCAAGCTGTACAGAAAACAAAACGAATTAATGTAATTGTTAAGGTTCGACCAAAGCAACGCGTGCAGCATGCGATGGTAGGTAATGGCGATCAAATGTCGTGTATGAATTCACGTAACAAAACTTCAACGACATACAAGCGATTTGATCGCTGGAGTTACTTTTCGTATTCACGTATTAATCGCCCGATTTTGTTTTGATTTCGTTTTTATGCGTATTCAATCGTTACCTCCGTAGTATTCACCTATTACCTATTTTGAAGTTTGGTTTAATCGCACGCATGACAGTGATTAAACGTCAATAATGACAAATCGCTCAGTTGCGATCCTATCGAGTAATCGTTCTATAGAAATGACACGTGAATACGAATTTAGGACTGTTTTTCAATACAATGACTTCTAAACGTCAACGATATTTTGACATGTTTCAAAATACGTGAATTAGGCCACTGTTATTGGTCGCGGCGATCTATGCACGCGCAGTGATCGCCAATCGCCATCGCCGACGCGAGCGCACGCGTTGGTTTGGCCGAAGCTTTAGTTCATATCTCTATTTAAACTGTTAACACGTCTATCAGTTGTGCGTTCAATTATTAAAATAAGTGTTGAATTAACAAGTTGAAATGTCTTAAATTTTAAATAAATATTTTTAATATTTCTATTGAATGTGTTTTAATTGTTGCTTGATGGTCCTACTATCATGGGTAATGTAACATTGATAGCCGATGACATTTTTTATTTATTTATAATATAATATGAACAATAGACATGTTGACACCACCAATCAATTGACGTACTTTTTAAAACTGTCAAAACGAAACTCTCCCATAGATTTTGTATGGCACTACAAGCAAGTGAAAGTGATGTCACTATTTTTTCAACTCAATTAAACTACTTTTTTCAATCACAATGCGAAGAAAAATTTTAATTTACAGGTAATTTAAAAGTAATTAAGTTTTTAAGACCAGAATGAAGGGTCTTTTTATAAAAAGTTGTGGTTTTGATTTATTGAGGTATGGTGTCAAACTTTCTATTGCTGACTATACCTACAATCAATCAAACTTCTCCTTGCTGCCCTATCGGCCATCAGTTCTGCGTATTATGTTCCCTGTCCATTGCCACTTCAGCTTGCTAATCCGTTCGACTATGTAAGCGACTTTTGTTCTTTTACGGATCTCCCCATATCTGATTCGATATCTACTAGGCAATTACAGTAAGGCGCTGGATGCAGGCTGCTACCAACCGGGCGATGTGGAAACATTCGGAGAAGTCAATGTTCAGCAATGGACGTTCTGTGCGGTCGCATGAATCCGCGGTAACAATTTATTATGTCTCGATTCGCTGGTACTTGAAGAGCTAGTTTAACAATTTCATTTTCTAGGTCTTATAGCAACTAACCTCTGCTTCCAGATTACTACGAGGAAATTCCATTGCTAGGCAAATCCGTGATCCTGTACAGAAATCACACATTTTCTAAGCAAGGGTACTCGAAGACCACGCTGTACTGTTCCAAGAAGAAAATAAGCGGCTGTCCAGCTAAACTGAAGCTGTCTGGCAACAAATGCGTCTTGGCTGCTATGAACGAACACAATCATCCAGCACCTAATTTTTATAAGACGGTTGATGGCAAGTACATAAAGGTAGGATAAAGTGCAAAACACCACAAGGTGGACCAACGACCTCATAAAGGTAGTAAGGCGCTGGATGCAAGACGCTACAACCGGTCATAATAGAAATCATTGGAGGAGGCCTATGTTCAGCAGTGGACGTCCTATGGCTGAAATGATGATGATGATGAAGAAATGGATCAGTAGCGAATTGCGGGAAGCTATGGTGGTGACTTTCGTCCACTGCTGGACAAAGGCCTCCGGATTTCCTCAACGACCGATCCTGTGCTGCCCGCATCCAGGTGCTTCCTGCGACCTTCACCAGATCGTCGGTTCACTGATTGGAAGACTGGCCTATACATACTAAGTTCACTGGCTCGTAGTCGCCACTCGAAAACTTTTCTTCTCTAGGTTACTTTTTTGCCAAATATTATTTTATTCTCCGTTTAAAATCCGTAAAATCTCAAGTTGTATTTAGACAAATCTGATGGAAGACTAGATACTGTTAACCAAAAGTATGTTTCAATATTCTTTAAATAAAATGGGAGACATGGTGCCAAAAATGTGTATCGTACCTATTGCCTGCACTTATTGAATTATCTGAGTAGGTTAGTAAGTGTTGTAATTTTAATATAACTAGTGCAATTTACCCGTATTTTTTTTATCTAAGAGTCACTTAAGTAATAAGTCACTTAAGCAGTGAAATTAAACAACTACCTATACAACATTATTATTCGTGCATTAGTTATAGTGGCGGTAAATCCACTGGTTTTCAGTTATTTAAACTGTATGGTTTGAATTCACTGCTTAAGTTTTAACCAAACTTTTATTATACTCATTAGTTACATATAATCCAATTAATATTAATGTAGTTTTTTCTATACACATGTTACATTAATTATTTCAATAAACCATACAAAAAATTCACAAAATATTTATTTATAATTGTCCTTTCAGTCCCTATTTTCCTTTAATTTTGCCGTTCTTTTTACCCATATATTTTGCGCTTTACAGACGATAACAACTACCAGGTAATACAGCTAAACAAGGGGCCTGTGGTGCTTTTCAAGCAGTACACCTATTCACAGCAAGGTGCCTCTGCCATGCACCGGTACTGCTCCAAACGATCCACTTTGCGGTGCCACGCCAGACTCCACTTCGATAAACGTGGAAGGATAACTAAGGCAGATTTGCAACATAACCATCCACCGCCGCAACTTTATCGAGCACCAGACGGGAATTACTATAGGGTATAGGGCAGGGGTGGCAAACCTTTATGATCCAGCGTGCCAAACTCATGATCCAATGTTCCATTTAAAAATATGACGCCATAGACGTGCCGTCACATACTTAATACTAAATTATATTAATTGAAAACACTTATTGGCTATAAAAGAATCTTCCATAGTAAACTTTGTGATCTATAGGTGGCGTGTCCAAAAGATTGTGTCGCGTGCCATCATTGCATTGGCTTTGGCACGCGTGCCATTTGTTCGCCATCCCTGGTTTAGTTACTTTTAGTAAAAAGGCAGTGCAAGGTTGCAAAATATGTTGTTATATCCCCCATCCAATTAAACTATTTGGTTTGTATCTGTTATTTGTATGCCATTGATCTAAGTATATTTTTTTAAGTACATATTTAAATCTACGCCAAAATTATGATGATTGTTGACTCTATGATTATAAGTTAGTAATAATACTTTGTCATTCCTATAATAAATACATATTTGTGTTGTTTTAAATAAAAATGATAAGTAATATTTTTATTTATTTATTGAAAACTACAGTAAATAATTATTAATGTAAGTGTTTTCAACTACCAATTTAAAGCATGCCAATATAAATTCATAGATTTATTTATTTTATAGATAGCAGTAGCTAGAAAGTTTTTTTTTATTAATTGAAAGCTACAATAATCTTTTTTCTACAATATTAAATGTATCCTACCTTCTTACAGATTCAGATTACGAAGATTTCTATTACGTAGAAATAATCTTCAGAAATCACACGTTTTCTCGACAAGATGCGTTCTCGAATGACCTTTACTGTTCTAAAAGGAACCGTTTTTACTGTCCTGCTAAACTGATGCTGAACAGCCGAGGAGATATAATATTTGCTGATCCCAACCACAACCATCCGCCAGCGCATATGTACAAAAAAAGTGAATAAGAAGACGACAAAATAAGGCCTTTGTCAGCGGCGAGTATTTAAAAAGGTATGATTCCGAACTCCGTTGCACTGATACTATATGGGGCAGCAAGAAACACTGCTGCAGCAATACTGCTGGTCCCCATATACATAGATTCTATCCCCCTTATTAATAAAAAGTTACACCTAGGATGAACCGCCGATGCCGGCCGATGGGGCAGCAAGGTTCTGGAATGGAGGCCGCGTACCGGAAAACGCAGCGTGGGACGTCCACCTACAAGGTGGAACGACGACCTGATAAAGGTAGTAGGAAGGCGCTAGATGCAGGCCGCTACCAACCGTGCGATGTGGAAGTCTTTGGTGGAGGCCTATGTTCAGCAGTGGGCGTCC